TCATGATCACAATGTACAAACAATACTTGATGAACTATAAATACTTTGTTCTTTTGAGCCACAATAACAGCCTTGTCTCATACTAGTACTGTAAGTTTCATGTCATATTATTCTCACTAAATCCTGAGATGCAGTGTCAGCAAAGATCTACTATAATAACTTAACTATAATAACTATGATAACTTGGTACTATACTCAGTGGTCGAATTGTTAATTTTTAATAAGGGGGATGCAATGTAGCTTTGATTTTTTTGCGTGCACACATAATCAAATATGACAGCACAGATGTGCAAAATTAATCAAGATAAAGAAAAATGGCATGACCTATACCTGCTGCCTTTAAAAAAACACAAATAATGCAGTAGTATTGCTATTGCAGTACAGACAAAAAACATTTTAGACTATAAATATGAGTAGTTCTGAAATAGCTGTGAAAATTAATCTTAGAGTCACTCTTATCCTATAGACATTTCCTTAGCCAGTTATAATTTCTCCTTACCTGTGAAGCCTTGGGCTGATAATTGGTGCTGCTGTCAGATCCCTGTCCTGATACCTGCCTGGTTTCTCCCTGTCCCTCTTCTATCTATTGCATTAATATAGATAATAAATGTGCAAAGCAAAATTCATAAATACACCGTCACTTTTGTGCTCTAGATATTTTCTCTCAGCCAGTTATAATCTCTCCTGTGAAGACCCTGCATGATCATCCTTGCTGGTCTCTGGTCCACTGTCTCCTCCCTGACCCTGCTCTTTATATTGTGGCAATAAAGATTAAAAAATATGTGCAAAGCAATAGTGAGCACAAGTTCTTATTAAGGAGGAGTGGGTTTTTCCTAGCATGAAACTAGCTAGCAAGCGATGTAACATAGGTAACAATAACATTAGTATTCTTGTTAACTATCTTAACTTGATATATTGGCATCTATTAATTAGTCATCATTTAGCTAACATTATCTACATGCAACAGCATTACTCAACTTACACGGTTTGTTTGGAAGAAACGGTGCAAGGTTTTTTGCTTCTTGCTAGCTGCTTTGCTGAACATAGTTAACACAGAACTACTGCCCAGGGCCACACCTCTCATCTGTGTGCGATTGATAACAACATGACAGCGTGCGTCTGCCGCCTGGCGTAGCCTCCTCATGGTGCATTTAAAGACGGTTCGGAAAAACACGTTACCACATGTTAAAAATGAATTGAACGGTTGTAATGGCTGTAAAAAGTGCGGGGGACAGCGGGCACAGATATGGGAAGTGCGGGGGACATGTCCCCTGTGTCCCCCCTTCAAATTACGTCCGTGCCTGCACACACAGATTCTAGATTAACAAGGGGGATGTTTTTTGGTCAATTTTCTAACAAAGGGGATGGCATCCCCCCTCAATTCGAACACTGATTTTAGCTCAACGTTTGTATTGCTTTGAACTGGCTTAACCTGTAAGTTAAGGCTGTGTTTGACATGGGCCGGTACTCAACGGTACACAGTACTGACACAGTCTTTGGTGTAGGGGAGAACATGTACAGTTGTAACACAGGACGGTTGTAACACCTCAAATTCCTCCAATCAGAAACAAGCTAGTGTGATGATACTCACTCTGCACATGCTCAGTTAGATTGTCTTCTTGCCTGCAAAAACGGAGCCAAATCTGCAGCACTCAGAGGAATTTATCTACAGAAGTGTGTTTTTGAGGTAAAATTTTGATTTTTTTTATCAGATGTATTTTTTGGATACTGTCATGAGATCAAATATCTAAGAATTCAAACAGTTGTTACTGAATTCACTGTTTTGTAAGCTAAAAATAGAAATGGCTAACATGTGTCAAGTTAGCAGTCAAGCTCTATAGCATGAGGGAGAAACATGGCTGGTGACACAGGGACAGTTGTAACGCCTTGTTAAAACTGTCCCTGTGTCATGGGGTGTTTACACTTTCTGATGCACAAAAGCTAACGTTGGCTAGCATAACATCAGCTAACTAAATAACATCACCACAGCTAGCCAAACGGGAATGGTGAAATGTGATTGGTTGATGCTTCATCGTGTCATTGAAGCACAGAATAAAGTTGAGGCCAGCTTATTAGCTTATTACTAGCTTAGGCTGGCTTATTTGTACACATGCAGCGACAAGTGTCAGGCGTCAGAAGCATAGCTCCATGTCACCTGCTTCTATTGACAATGAATTGTAGCCTGTCGCCTTGCAGCCGGTAGTGTGAATGCCTTCACAAGCCATGTTGGTAGCCATAAGCATGTTATATCAAATAAAGACATTTCTTGCTTTACAATTTGACTGAATTTTTTTTAAATGTAATATGAAAGAGGTAACCATTATCTTAATTTTAACTAATTAACAATACCAATAACATAAATGCTAATAAATATTTACCCTTTTGAATATTGTTGATTAATTATTTATTTCTTAATTATGTAGCCTTGTAGGCATGTTACAACCGCCCCTGGCATGTGTTACAACTGTCCCTGTACACTGGGACGGTTGTAACATTGGAGTCACTGTCTTTATATGAATTTTGCAACCTGAAAATAATTCTTAAAATCTTTCATACATTGTTTCTGTAGTTGACACCTTAAAGTTTTTAATATAGCAAACTGGCTGTTCCAGTGTAAACGGTTTCTGATTAATTGGGAAAATTGCTAAAAGTGTTACAACTGTCCCTGGTCTCCCCTACCGTGACTTGTTTATGCACACCGGCACTTCTTACAAGCTACCACTGCTCTCTCCTGCCCTCTCAGTATGAGATTATCTAGGCAATTGAAAATGGCCCTAAATAAACTGCATAACCCAGGGGGCACTGAGGGCACTAGGTGACTCACCTGTGCATGTTCACAAGTTCTTTTTACTCATATTGCGAAAGCATGACCACCCCTACTCTGTCTTACTCTGCCTCTGATTGGCTTACCCTTATTATCTTACCTGAACCCTAGCAATGCCTAAACCTAACCAATCCAACCAAGTAAGGCAACAAGTACGAGCCAGTCAGAGGGAGAGTAGCGTGGTCATTCCTCCACCATAGAAAAAAGAAATTGCTTTTCTCTGTCCGTGGCTAATCTACATACAGAAGCGTAATGCACTCACTTCATAAAATAAAATATATGCCCAGTTTTTCTGAAATAATGAGATTATTATCTTAGAATTCTGAATTAAATGTTTTTCGTGTTAATAAAAATCTGGTTAATTCAGAAAAATTTGCAGATTTTTTTCCATGAAAACTTTTCTGAGAATTTTGAGATAATCCTGTTAATTCAGACAAACAGAACTTTTTTTTTCCCTCAAGTGAATACATTACACTTCCATATCGAAGTAACGTAACATTTCAAAAAGAAATTACAAAAACAATACAAACAGAGTCAGAAAATGACATTACAGTGCTCCGAAAGTCAAATCCTATGTTACTAAATGCAGGCCAAGAGCAGCAAGCTAACCTTACACACACCAACATGTGAATAAGGGGAGTACTGGCACTTTTTTTGTTTCCTCGTGGAGCACGGGGTTAAAGTCCAAGCTTGTTGCATTATTTTATGGCGTTTTGAGCCACATAATAATGACAAGCAATACAGTGTCATTAGCTGTAAAAGGACTAAAAAGAGCAGCTGACAACAAGATACCCACAATGATGGATGGTAGATTGCTTGCATATAAAATACAGTTACATAACCAATTCATAATCACAATGTACAAACAATACTTGATGTACTAATTAATACGCTGTTCTTTTGAGCCACAATAGCAGCCTTGTCTCATACTAGTACTGTAAGTTTCATGTCATATTATTCTCACTAAATCCTGAGATGCAGTGTCGGCAAAGATCTACTATACAGTGGAAATGAGGAGTCATTGATAACTTGGTACTATACTGCATTTTATCTGATTGGGTAGGTCTGTAGAAAATGCCCTTTGTGCCAGATGAGAACCGCTCATTTGTCTTGCAAAACAGGAATTCAAATCAAACAGGGCTGTTTAGTGAGTGAACATGTTGGCCACCTAAGGTTTTTAAAACTCACCAAAGCAATCTGCACTCACTTAAGTGTTCCTGATGAAATATGAAATACTAAGCAGTGTGCTGTCAATATAATTTTACCACTGTTCATGTGACTTAAAAACAAAACACACTATTGTAGCATGGTCCCTCTTAAGGTGGCGCATGAGGGCTTTTTGCTGTTGTTCTGTTAGACGAGTTTTTCTTGACTAGCCCTGTTTTACCAGGTGAGACTACACACAATGATTCTGCACATTTCTTCCTTCATTCACACTTAACACACTCTCACACAGATGATCCCAACTGATTGTAAGACTGTAGAGAAAAAGAAAAATGATCAAGATCATCTCTATATAGCTCAGCTCATCAAAAGCACACTGTAAGCTGTTGCAGAACAGCCTTGACACATACTACATTTGAAAATGAGTCTTTCCTATCACACTTATAAAAGATAGCTAACAGAAAGTACATACCTTATTCTCTGCTGCTGATTCCCAAAGGCTCAGGAGAGACTCTGTAAATCTGTGAATCTTGGCAGCTGTTAGACTGAGAGCACTCTGGTCTGTGTAAACTGTGCACACCTGTCGTCTGCACCAGTAACCTGTGTTGACATCATCACAAAGCCCCACCCATCATTTGCATTGGTTTCTGTGACCAAGGTAGGGACATCCTCCTGGGATACAGCTGTGACATTCAGGCAGATGAACAATACCCAACTAAAGATCATGTTGTTTATTCAGATACTAGATACACATACCGTTGACGTGTTAATATTATAATATTAATATCATATTTCATAATGTAGAGCAAATATACTTAGAAGCACAGCAAACTGTGAACAACAAATCTGTCATTTATTTTTTGCTTTTATTACCTTAAATTAGTCTAAAACAGTGATGCCAAAATGAGAAGTTAGTCATACAATTTAGTTAATATATAAGCTCAGATACAATCTGTGTGCAGAAGGAGAGGCAGCTGCAGGGCCTTCTGGTTTCAATGAACTTTGCACCCGCTTTCAATAAATCTTTATTGCCGTCATTATCACATTCACATGATCGTCATTCCTCAGGTAAAGTTGGTCACCTCAATTACAAAACTGAATTCCTCACTGTGTTTGTTATGTAAGCTGAAATTTAATTCACAAATTAAAAAGCTGGAAGTGTAGATGTGTAGGCTGTTACAGAATTACACAAAATAGTTTCTTCTCTCGAAACGGGTTCTCTGAGGAAGGCACTGGTGTCACCAGGGGGTCCTCTTTGGCGTGAGCTTCACAGTAAGCCATCAGGTCAGCTGCTGCTTTGGATATCTGTATGAAGATATTGTGATTGTGTGTGTGTGAGTTATTTCTTATTTATTTTTTACCATTGATTAAAACACCCGAAGAACGGCATCCTTCCTGCATCAATCAAAAGTGAAATTTGATGTAATTTATGGAAAAGGAGTCTATTTTTTATTTTTTTTTTATTGAAAGGGTCGGATTGCTCAACAAATGGTGATTGATTTGGTAAATGATGATCTACCTGTTGGAAATTGATTGATATTAGGCATGTTCAAGTTTAAAATTAGATGTTAATCTAACTATACACAAGCGTAAATCTCTTCTGAGACACAGAAAAGTTCAGTCACCAACACTCCATATTAAAACTCAGGATCTGTTGCTATTATTATTGGCTGCGTGTACGTCTATAATATGCCGACTCACCATCATCCTCTCTATGTTGACCTCCAGTTTCAGTTGTTCTACCGTCTTTCGAGCATCTGCGATCTTCGCCATGTTGTTAGACATCCTGTCCCCTTCCCACCAAAGTCAACCAACCTGGAGCAAACCATAAAATGTTGAGTTATCACACAAGAAATAACAGTATGCAACACTGATAAAGAAAGTGGCGTAAAAAAATAAAATACAAACATGCTTTCACTTCTAAAGTGCAAACACAGCAACACATCACATGGCAGTTCACTGAAGGTGTGTCATGGGTAGAGTCTGTTTCAATTTGCTTGTTAATTCTGCTCCCTGGGTCTCAGCTGCAAGTGGCACAGGGAGGGTCTCAAAGGAGGAGGGTGGGGAGGGAGGGGAGGCAGAGCAGCATCCCCAGGGGAGGGCATCCGCTAGCTGAGAATGTAAATACACCTAACACTGACTTGTTGCTCTTTCAGAATGGTTTATCATAAACTGCAAATGTAGGGAGTTATAATAATGCTTTTAATCTGCTGCTATTATGTTGCTCAGGTGCTGCCAAATACTGATGCAAGAGATCAATCTTACATTACTCTTAGAAGTGAATGAAAAGCAACATTAGTCAACTACAGAAGACCCTCTTTGTTTATTGTGCCAGTGTCTGTGAGTGTGAAATTAATTTGTCAATCATATTAATACAAATTATTTGTAATGCAAATCATACTTGTGACATATGCCACCAATATCAGCACATACATGTAGAGATATATACTTGGATATAATATAAGCAGTTTTGAAGAATCTGAACCAAAAATTGACATTTTCCAAGATTTATCCAAACATAATAATCACAGCATCACTCACCACAACACCAACAGCAACTGCCGGGCTCCTGGAAGGAAAGTCCGCTTGTCTTCAACGGGGTCCTCCACACCAACTTACAGTACAAATGAAGTGAGATTAACGACAAAGATGAGGAGGGAGGCTTCAGTAGGTTCCCTCCTTCAGTAACTAGCTGTGGTTCTGCCCCCAGGATGGGCTCCGTGCAGCAGTTAAAGGCAACATGTGGTGTGACCTTCATCTCTAGAGTCTCTATCATTCGCTCACCTGAGATGATAGAGGAGCGCGTGTTGTGGGATGGAGCATTAAATACAGTTTTTTAAAAGAGCCTTTATAGGGATAAGATTCAAATAGCAAATAGTGCATTAATATAAATGAAAATCTCACACGCCTGACAACAACATGAAAAGGTGTATATATATATAGACTATAATGAGGAAGCTCTCAAGAGAATAGGTTGTTTTCCATGACTTTAATTGATTTTCCTATTTGTAATTAATTCTAAGACACATACAAAGTGTGTCATACTTGGATATATATTTACAAAGTAAATGAATTTAAGGTCCATTGGGTTTGCTTTATGACAGGAACAACTAAAAATTAGTAATCAGTATTTATAACAAGTTCACAATTGAATGTTAGAATTCAAAATAAAGGTCAACCATAGGAGTTTCTGTTTCACATGCTTTTACAGTGAACATATTAGGTTTCCCTTGGCAAACATTTTCTTTTATTATTTTACTTTTATTTTTTATACAATATAACAATATTAAGACTCTAAACACACAGTGATTCACAGGTGTTTCAAGGTCTTACAGCATCAACCTTGAAAAAGAAAATCCTACACCAAATACACACTGGATAACATATATCCAGAACTACGTCTGCAAGGTAAGTGGCTGAGTTTGTGTCAAGGTGTGAGTTTTCTCAGACAGAAGAATTATTTGTCTCATGCCGTAGCGATCCTCTACAGGGCTGCCAGTCTGTCCTGCAGAGCTGACAGTAATTCCACTCAGCAGCAGGGGGCGAAGAGGCAGTGCTATGGAGTTAAATGTCAAGTACCTCATTAACATTTGTTTCCCTGTAGTAATTGGTCTCTCTCGGTGGAAGATATTGGACCATATGAGTGGAAAAAGCTGCAGCTTCACCTAACCAATCTCTGTCACCACTCACCAAGGGCCCATAACTACAATTTGCCCAATGTGTGATTTGCATACTCCAGGCAGGGAATGTTCAGATTTTGTCCTACTTTGTAAGAACTTAATATTGTTACCTGTGCTTTAGGAGTGTAACCCAGCCAACCAGCATATCTCCTCTCTCATATTGTTTATTAATGACAGGCGCGACATCAATGAACCAGGGAGGGGGGGGGGCAAAGTGTCTGCATATCAACACTTGTTTACACATAGGCTCTTCATTTTCTATTGGTAGATTTAAAGTACACAACAAAAAAAGGAGTACTCTTATGTGAGTCAGTTTATAAATAGAAATGATCCATTCTGTCATAAACTGAGGTGGAAAGTAAATACTCCTCTTTTGTAGATGATTGGCTACAGCTCACCAGGTAAAGCTGTAATTATGTGGGATTGCAAAATAGAAATGAACAGGCACCTCTGCAGCTGGTGTCCATATAAGGGAGATCAGGCAGCCAAATGTAAGAACCATAATGTTTTGCAATATGTTAAGGGGCAAACCAAGAGATTTTTGCCCCAGTTTCATAAAACTGTAAAGGTGGCAACTACAGACATATGAACACTACACTGAAAGCTAAGACCAGGCTATTCATTTCAAAATGATGCCCTGGTTTGTTGTTTTTTACTGCATCATACTGGTTGTAAACCAGTTTTGCAAGTCTGTTGCTGCTGCTGCAAATTATGTGACAGGCTCGTCTCTACTATATAAGAAAGCACACTCAGAAGAGCATTTACAGGTGGTCACTGGAAATATTGTCAGCTTAATTTTGTTTGCTGTGTTCTGATTTTTTTTTTTCAAATGTGGCCTGAAAAAGCCATGTCATAATTAAAAATAAAATAAAATAAAATAAATTTTATGAGACAAAAAGCTAAATAAATGTCCTTTTCTTATGATTTTTATTTTCTTTTTGACAGTAAAATTCCCAATAAAATAACAAATACTTACATGAATGTGCCATGTATTTTACTTTATTTCTTTTCTTTTTTTGGCATTTAAAATCACCTATTGAAATGTAGTATTCATGTAATTTGCTAGATATCATAACCTAACATTAATATTCTGGCAAATCAGTATATACAGTCACTGGTAAGGGTTTTCACTGAAATGGGTATCAAATATCCTCCCTGCATATTTTAGTGCTCCTGGCTAAGAAAAAGGGCTGTTGATGCATAAATGTACATGTAATATTATTGTTACTGTTAGTTATTATCATTAGTGTTTATGCTGTTGTTTTACAGCCACAAGCAAAGGGACATATATGTATAAAAGTAAGAATAAAAGCGATTTAGCTAAGTTAAGGGGAGCAGCCAGGGTTGTACCATCATTAAGCTCCTGTGGTGGGCGTGTACGAACAGTTCGCTGCTAGCTACAATGATAAATAACGTTAGTGACTACAGTAAGCTACGTTTTCTCGTCTGGCTCTTCGTTAGTAGCTCAGACTTTGTTTAAATTAACGCGAAATAAACCGGGTTTGCGAGTCTTTTCGGCGAAGCAGCGTAGCACCGGAGCTAGCTAGTTAATCTTTAAGTTACCGATAGCTAATGCACACGAGACAGTGACTTTAACGGACAACGGTGAATCAGCGTGCTAGCTAGAAAGACAAATCTTGAAAGCCTCAACACCCACCACGCAACATTCATTGATGTTAACGTCCATAATTGTGTGTGTATCGCTTTCGGACGTCGCCAGTGTTATATTTTCTGCTGGGTTTCCATCTACCAAGATGTATGGGATGTCGGGATGACAGGAAGATGGCAAACGGGGTTGGAAGTGAGTAACGTTGGTACATAGCAAATGTCATGATATGCTATCCGTTAGCGGTGAGTGTGTCGTACTGTTGATGTTATCGCCACTAACTTCCTGCACGGCAGCCTCCGCTCGCTGCAGGGGAGCCTGCGAGGATTAATGGCTGTCATTAGACAGTTGACAGCTCTGTTTACACTAATGGTGGGTCCTGTTTACCATTAACAGTATAAACGACATGCTTTTTGAGCGCTGATTTGAACCAGTTATGTGTTCATAGTGAACTGTCGGCGTGGTGGGCAGCTTTAGGTGGCACAGAAATGAAGCTCAAGAGATTAATTATAGGGTCCACACCAGGCCTGGGAGCCACAGCAGGCAATCGGTCTTACATGAACTATATAAAGCATGCATCATGTTGTGTCCATTTTCCTCCACATCTGCAGAACACAAGCTGCTTGTCATTGGACCAACAGAGCCATGGTCAGTGAGGGAGAAGCTGTGTTTGGCCACATCTGTCATGAAGAGTGGAGACCAGAACTGGTACTGATTTATTCCTTCCACCCCAATCTGGTGCCAGTTATTCTTTGTTGTGTGTCAGTGCTCTGTGCTTCAACTTCAACTTTATTATTATCCTGAAGGAAATTTATTCTACAGGCATCGAGACACAAAAATACATGAAGTACAACATCAGGCATGAATACAAAAAATCCCCAGCTCAAGTGAAAACAAAGATACTCCTACCACACTGAAGCAGAAGCTGAGACAGTCTGAAAACAGCACAGTAAATGCATCGCCAAGTAAAGGGCTTTGCAAAGGCAATAAGTAAAAGACATAGTAATAAATAATCAAGGTACACAATCTAAAAATGATTTAATCCAATATATACACAGATATTTGTAGTCTGAAATTGTAACAAAATATAATACAAAACACTGACACGCCAGCAAGAAATGTCACTTAATTGAGTTTATTGCACAAAGGGCCCACTTGTTCACAGGTCATAATCTCCGAAAAAATAACATACCCCACTATTCATGGGAAAATGCAAGGAATGTCAGCTTTGGTTTTGTACACATTGTCAATCAGTGAGATGCCTGCCTTCCACAAACTAGAATCCAGGTGAGTTATTGCACCGAGCAGGATTGCTCAGCCAGCCAGCCAGCTAACTTTAAAGACACCATGCAACAGCTTCTCTGAACATTTGTCAATAACTAGCAATAATAGATTTTAAAATCGATTTTAAAATGACTTGTAACTAATTGTGGTCAAAGGAGGTTCAATTATAGCTTAATTACAGTATATAAGCAATGGTAAAATGGTAAAATGACATGGCAGCAAGAAATGCCACTCACCCACAGGTCTTAATCCCAAAAAAGTAAAATACACCACTTTTCATGGCAAAGTGCAAGGACTGTCAGCTTTGCTTTTGTATACAGTGTCCATCAGACACATGTCTGCCACAAACTAGAGTCCAGGTGAGGTATTGCACCAAGCAGGATTAATTACTTAGCCAGATAACTTTTAAAATAGCATGCAACAGCTTTTCTTTTTCATACAGTAATCTACCAATAAATAGCAATAATCAATTTTAAAATGAACGTCAAAGGAGGTTCAATTACAGTATAGAAGTAATGGTAAAATAAAAATAATGGAACAAATCATTTACTTTTATGGCTCAAAACATGTTTGTAATTTCAGTTGTTAACTACACAAAAGTGGCAAAAAAAGGTAATTTAACTATTTGAATCACTATGCAAATGTGACTATAGCTGAACTACCAGTAAGGCACTGCGAAATGTAGTTAAACTACTAATATGATTACATGTAGTTCACTACTCCCCATCACTGAGTTTGAAGTTTTAAAGAGGTCCCATGCTATATGGCTGTTATGCACACATTCATCCTTTTACTAAAGATTACCTATTAAGATTAGATATCGTCAATACAGGTGGGGCTTTTGTTAGCATTGTTGCCCCTCTTTGTACGTAAAATGGAGGTTGCTGGGGTTTTCTTTCACAGTCCAAAGACGTGCAAATACGATGAATTAACCATAGGTAGGCATGTGGTTGTCTGTAGCTGTCTTTTTGTGATGCACTGACATACTGTTCATGATGTTGCCCAGGGCTTGCTGGCTGTTATTTTGCATAAATTTTGCATGATTTTATAACCAAAAGACCTCCAAAAAGTAACAAACAAACAAACACACAAAATACCACAGATATAGAAGAACTTAGACTTGGGTGAAAAAAAAATGTTTTGAGACTACAATAAACCAAGGACAAAAATAGCAGCCTGTTAAAGTCTTTAATGGGTATTTCGTCTTTGATCATTTCAAAAAATGTCTTCATCTCAACAGGGTTTCTGTCAGTCGAGCCATCAAACCGTTTGCAGAACCTGGGCGACCACCTGACTGGTTCTCTCAAAAGGTGTGACAGAATCCAAGCTCACTCTATTGCAGAACACAGTGCCCAAATTCATTCTCTCTGCAGTACAGTTGCCACATTATATTTTGTCATGTCACAAAGCTGTTTTTGATTCTCTTCGCAGCACTGTGCTTCCAAGTACTCTGAGCTCCTGGAAACAACAGAGGCCCCAAAGTGAGCACATAAGTGACTGTTACCTCTGCTATGCTTTTGTAGACTTGCAAGCTAAAATAGATAACATATCTTTACACGGGTTGACACATGCATTGACAGTATGTGCCAGATAACAAAGGCTTTAAATAATAATGCATTTGTTGCCTGCAGGCGGAAGCGTGGCGAGAAAGGTGAAGTGGTGGAGACCGTGGAGGATGTGATAGTACGCAGGCTGACAGCTGACAGGATTGAAGAACTGAAAAGGTTCATCAAAGAAACACAGGAGAAGCACAGGTACACAAGCGTAGCTTTTAACAGGATGAACATAACACAGTCGTTGTGAAAACAGTAACAAAAAAAAAAGAAGTTCGATCATGAACTGCATCAATGAGAGTGGTTGTTGTGGTTGTGTCTTCATAGGAAGCTGAAAAGAGAGGCTGAACTGATTCAAGCAGGACATCTAGACTCCAAATTAAAAGAGATATGGGAAGAAATTCTGCAGTAAGAAGCAACAAACTTTCTATCTGCCCTGTTTATATAATAATACAGCACATCTCCTTTTTTTCTGTTTGTAAAGCTTAGACTTTGGACACTCTTAACTGACATGCAAAATAAATGATCTCGCCATGTATGTGTCTGTCAGAAAGAAGAAACAAGAGGAGGAAGAAGCAGAGCTGAAAAGAAAAACCACAAATGCTGCTTATCAGGGTATGTTCTTTATTTTTAGGGACATAAATATAGAAATCTGTTTCAGTAACTTTATTCATGCTCCATAAATAGTGTGTTTCCTTCTGGAAAACAACAAAGATTAAGTAAAATGGTTCAGTTTAAACATCCTCAGCTGTTCCATCTACATCCATCCATTATTCAAGCTTAAAATCTAACAGATTATAGAGGTGGCAGATTGATTGATGATATTGTATAGGTAAGCTGCTTTTACAGTATTACTGTAGAGTTGATTAAAAAAAAAAACGGGAAAAAAAATCACAGGAAAAAATTTTTTGGAAGTCAACACTCACTCTGGGCTTATCTAATGAATTAGTACCACCTAAATCAAATGGGTACATTTGATACAATGGCCATTTTGTGACATCTCAGATTTAACTCGTCAGGCTCAGCAGAACACTGCTAGTTTTGGCTCAGTGTTAGCTCATAGACTTGGGTGTATTAGTCAGAAATTGGAATATCTCACCTCCCAAATAATCATTTGTATATGAGGTTCTCACCCTGTGTTTCGTTGAATTATTGAAGAAAAGCTTATTTTTCTTGCATGTCCTTGGGAAATAAAGACTCCACAAATGGAGAAAACTCTTGATGAATTGAAGTCATAGTGGTCTGCGTTTAACAACTGCAAAACTATATCAAAACATCCGCTTACAAACACTCAAAAAAAGCATGCAGTGTAATTGTTGTCTCGTTTATCCAGTTGTATGCTCATTATTTCCCAAACATACAATCCTTTCAGCGGGGAACTGAACTTGCATTACAACTACATTGACAAAAACAGTAATTTTACCTCCCAAAACACAAGAGCTGCTGGTCTGTTTTTTTCTGGTTTGTTTTACTGTGTGACTTTGGTGAATCCCTAACCCTTAAAAACACCAAAGCCACACAATTAAACAAACAAACTGATCGAGGCAGCGGTAGACCAGCAGCTCCCATGTTCAGTGGAGTCTGGCTTTTAAGAGAGCATAGATAAAGTTTCAATTTACTGTCAGAAAGGGCCATCTGATTGGGAAGTGCTGAACATAGGACTGAATAAATGAGACTTAGATTATACTGCACCTGTGTGAGAGAGTGTGGTAAACGTATGTTATGATATAGTTTTTGCTGTTGTTAAACTCGGACTCCTAAGACTTTAATTCATCAAGAATTTTCTCAAATTTTGGATTCTTTGTTCAAAGTCAATCTAAGATGGGTTGAGTAAGTAATTGATGAGGATTTGGTAGCATTAGTAGTAGTATTCTGTCATTAAGTGAAAACATTGACCTGTTGGTGGTGCTAGAAAGTCTGGGGATCACCAGAGTCAGTAGGATCCATGGCGTAAAGTAGGATGATCATGGTACATTTTCTTTCATTCAGCTTTTGTGTGACTAATAAGAGAACACTCCCTTCGTCACCCCTCCCTCTTCCAGCCAGACAGGCGGCAAAGAATGCACCTAAGCGAGTGCCTGGCATCACCATGCATTCACCCTCAGGCTGTAGCTCCCCAAGCCCGGAGTTCTCACCAGGTGACCCACTCGAGTGCTTGACACTGGATCTTGCATCGACCAAGAATGTAAGTCACTGTTGGTTCAAAGGTATTTAAGGTCTGCCCTACTTTTCAATGATTATGCTCCTTCATGGGACATTTAAGGTTAGCTCTCAAGGTTAGTGCAGATCAACCGGTTTTCCTCTTTGAGCTTGGTCCTGTGTGCCACTGCTATGTGTTTAATCACCATTTTCTCATTAATGTAAAAGTTAGGAACCTTGTGTAATGGCCATGGCACATTGTTAAATAAAAGACATATGTATTAACTTAACTGTTAGAAATAACTTGCCAATACTGCTGTAAGAATTAAAGATGTCAGAAAGGGGTCTAATATTCCAGACCATTCCCAGAAACACATTAGAGACACTTACCCAGAGTTGATCAATTCAAGCATGCCTGGATTAGTATGCCAATATAATTTCCCTCTCTTTGTCTTTAGGCTTCGGGATCAGCCAGATTAATGACAATTGCTGAGTCCTCTGGATCCAGTAATGATGACATCAGCCACGGATCACTTCTGGATGACCCCACCCAAAAGAAGCTCCTGAGCCAGAAAGCTACACCCCCACCTTCTCCCCTCCTGTCAGAGTTACTGAAGAAAGGCAGTATCTTGGCCTCGAATTCCAGACTGGTATGTGGAGAGGACTTGTTGTATTGTACCAACAGTGCCAAGCTGTGTAATTAACATGTTCAAATCTGCAGGGCATCATATCTTCGTTTCATTTGTCTTTGTTCTGCTTTGTGACTGGTTTGGGTAGCTATGGTTTGTTTTGCCAGTTGTATTAAGATTTTAATGATTTTCTACACATGTTTGGCATTGTATTGTGTTGGATCTTTAACACTAAGTCTGTTTTCACCTCAGGACATCTCAGTGTTAGGATTCTCTCTCAGTAGATGTTCTCAAGCTTTGTAAAGTTGGGTGTGATTGATGCACGAACAACTGTTTTCAGTTAATTCCACTCCTTTTTAAATTGGGTTCAGGTGTTGTTTTAGACACTACACAAGGTCATTTTTTTTTAATTTTTTGGGGGGCACTTCTCTCCTTAATTGCACAGATGACGATGTACAGGCAGATGGGAAATAGGTGGGGGAGAGAGAGTGGTATGACATGCAACAAGGGTCCCACAGCTGGAATCAAACTGGGGACGCTGTGGCTATGTGGCATGAGCTGTGACCATATAGCTACAAAAGCGCTCCATATTCTCGTTTTAAACCGGTTGCAGTGTTCCTAAATGTTGAAGAAGCTGCACCTCTATCTATCACTCGACAGTTTACACTAAATCTATTTTGCATTTGTTTTTTATGCTGCAATTGTGTTGATTAATGTTAAGTTTTGTACATACAGTATAGCTGAAACATTCAGTGGTTTTTTTTCATGCATCATGTATTTTTGCAGACTGCAGGTTGATATTTTTATCTTCCAGGTTGTTGTCATGTGTTTTCTTTTTTTTACCTCTAAGCCTTCTCATATGTCATCAGCAATTCCTGTATGGCATAATTTCCCATTGCAGCCGAGGAGCTGTCATTCAGTCAGTCCCTGACCAAGTTTCCTCTTTAATGCTTGCTGAACAGTTACCTCCAGGAGTTGTCCGGCTTGTTTCGTGTTTTTTAATTTCCATTTTTATGAAGCTTTCAATGCACTTGTGAAATCCCAACATGTCAGAATAAGTTTATCCTTTACTAGATCTTTGCCTCCCCACATTCCTACGGTTATGTTTATGCTCTGACATGCAGTGTTGTCTGTCAGGCCCTCTGTATAAACATACACACAGGGATTGCAGTCAAATTGTAGAAATAGCACAAAGACCTGCAGCTTTAGAATAATATTATTTATGAAATGATGTAGTGTACATATAAAATATTCACTTGCACATAATGGATTACTATGTGTGAGCCAGCAACAACATTTCTGATGGAACTGCTGGAACATAAATAAGAATACTTGATGTGTACTCTAGGTACAAGAAAACACAAAATACACGTTAAATGTTTGACATGCATGTATGCATTTTAATCCTAGATTGGGGACGGTGAGCACACAGAGCATGGTACAGGAGCACATGACTTGCAGCTGGCTCCACCTAGTCAACCTCTCTCTCAAGCATCAGGTAACAATACAGTGTTTGATTTTTGTGCATGATTTTCTGGACACTGATCAAGAGAAATTTCATGTCAAAGTGAAAATGAACGTCTCACAAAATAAATGACTGTACAAGTTTTCATGCCAATCAAGATACTTTCTGGCACAAAAAACATAGAAGAACATGTTTTATGTTTGTTATTTTTACCTCTTGTATCCTAAATTTATGTATGCATTTTATATAACAGTCCCTGTAGTCTAGCCATTTGCTCATTTTGCTCAGCTGAAAGCCTCTGCTGCTTTATCTGCAGGTGCCCCGATGTTGTCTCGTCTCCTTGAGGCAGGTCCCAGCCAGTTTTCTGCCCCGTTAGGTTTCATGGTCAGTGCAGACCCAGCCTCCAGTGCTCCCCTCTCTACTGCCACTCCTGTGCCTGTTGACTCTGCTGCCTCAGCAAGTAAAGGTGTGTCCACCTGACTCAAACCACTCTTCTCTCAATCCACAGGCTAAACCTCCTTACATCTTTGTTGTCACCTGCTTTGTAGCTAGAGAATTTAATTTCAGTCCTCTACTTTATTGACCACTGTTAACTGTATTGGTTGGCCTATTTCAACTGACACTTGGCGAAAAGCAGGGCAAGATTCAGATATATAGAAACTAAACAATTAAAGATTTTACAGACTGATACTGCTACTGGTTTGAAATTGTATCTTGGAAAATGAAAAAGTTGAAAATCAGTTGTTGTCTTTGTGCAGAGGTGGATGTGATGGTGCCGTCTTTAACCCCAGGATGCCAGCCTATTTCTGCAGAGGATAAGGTGTCAGAGCTCAGTGAGGAGGATGTGACTGTGTCCTACATGGGGGATGAGCTGGACCTAAAGACAGTGGGGGATATTATTGCTATCATTGAGGACAAGGTGAGAAGTGCTATGTATTTTCACAGCTCTTGAGATCAACTGTGGATCAATTTTGATAAGTAATGCCTGCTTGAGGCTTTAAACATTCAGTAACGTATGGGTGTTTTCATTTTGGGTTCAGTTCTCTTACAAACATCACTGCTTAAAAGGCAGGACATGGCAAACCTGCCTCAGTTATTCTCTAAGATCCAGAGTCAGATCTTTTCTTCTTCAGGCAGATGAGACTGCAGAGGCTTTGGATGCTGCTGCAGTTGAGGCTGCGCTGTCACTGTGTGAGGAGAATGGCCATGCTTTGTCTGGTGCCTGGGAGGCTGGGCCTTTCCAGCCCCATGAGTCTCACCCTGCGGTGCCCATAGGGGTCCCGGAGTCCTCGTCTCTTTACAGTAGCCTGGAGGGGAAGACAGAAGTGTTAGAAGTCCAGGGTGGGACTTCAGCTTCACTCTCCTCTCTGTGCAGCAGCCAAGATAACGGCCTGGCAGCATTCCCCATGGGACTAAGGGGCCTTCCTCCCACCTCCTCATCCTCATGCAGCTCAAAGAGTTTGGAGCACTGCCACACTGGAGCACCTCCACAGCCTGAGGCAATGAGAGAGACTGGAGGGTTGGCGCACCAGAAAAGCCAAATTTCATTGGATGTTACTAAAAAAAGTGAGAGTGAGAAGTGGGCACAGCGAAGACCTGAAAAACCCCATAGAGGTATGCACACCCATGCATAAATACAAGTATTCACTTGCTTCATAACGTGCAGTTTGCATGCAACTATGCGTTTTGCATAACCATTTCCTTCTTATTATTCATCTTTACTATCTTGGCAGACTCAGTATTAGAAGATAGCCCACTGACAGAAAGGCACCCCAAGGTATAGCACCCAACGAGGACAGAGCGAACATGATGCTTGTACTGGCTGTGCTGAAATGCAGAGTGCGTAGTTCCACAGTATTCCTGCACTGTAAGCTCTGTTTGAATCTCGCTGCATCTTTCTCCATCTTTGCAGGAGATGAAAGAAGTGGAGGATGGAATAAGCATTGTGGGAAGAGAGAATGCCTCAGGGACTAAAATATACAATGAGCTTAATGGGCCAGAAGTGTGTGGAGACGAAGAGGTTGATGGGGCAGAGGGATTCTTGTCAGAGCCAGACGGCGAGACGGAGCTAGAACCCGCAGCCAGCGAGAGTGAGGACGGATACAGCCTACACACGGCGTCCTCGTCTCTGCAGCTCCACACAACCGCAGACTCCATCCCCAGCAGCCCTGCCTCATCACAGTTGTGAGTGAAACGCATTCAGGCATACACAGCAGGGAAAGATTGTTTTCATTTCTGTCAACTTGCAGCATGAATTTCTCACTGCATCGTGCTGCAGGTCAGGTTGTGTTTGAAAATACTTCCCTCATGCCCTTTTTTGTTTGTAACCACCATCCTTCTACATACCACTGTTGTGCAGTTCTATGTGCAGTGAGGACCTGGAAGCTCTACAGGCTCACAAGATCTGGAAGAAAGCCATCATGCTGGTGTGGCGTGCAGCGGCCAATCACAGGTCAGAATATGACTCTTAAAAGTAACCCTGGTGGCTGATGCTCAGTCTCTCATAAATTGTAATTCTTTGTATCACTTCCTAAACAGATGTAATTTATGTGAACCTGTTTTAGGTATGCAAATGTCTTCCTGCAGCCAGTAACAGATGAAATTGCACCTGGATACCACAGTATTGTGCAGAGGTAAGCACGGGTTATGTGTGTTGTGGTTATTTTAATTTCACTAGTAGTTTTTATAGTGGTTGCTTGTCGTATTGCTCATGCCAATTGAAAATTTTACATCACAAAAATAGCATTTCAGCAGTTTTTCTGTTGCAGACAAATTTCCAATGTCAGAATAAAATCATGAGAGTTTGGCTGGAGTTGTGCCGCGCTCGTGAGATCTCAGTCATGTGGAAAACTCAGTCTGTGCTGTCATAAGTCAGTCTTTTTCTCGTCTTAGAGTTTAGATAAAATCAAAAAATTCTTTGTTTAATTTAGCGTGTATCTGATTCACCGACTAGCACTTATTTTAGTGAGAACGTTAACATTAACGTTAACACATCCAGGGAGGTTGGTAATGAGTGTAAGCAACGAAATCCAAAATGTAAAGTGTGTATGCAAATACAGTTTATCCCATGGATTATATTAATGCCGAATTGACAAGAATACTGTTGAAACATGATGCCTTTTATCTTGTGTTTCTAGAGTTGTGTGTTTTTACAGACATGTAAGTAATTGTTAATATGTAATATTTCTGAAAGGGAGTTTGGTGTAATATTTTCCACCAGGAGCAGGATTGGAAATACTCTCAAAAGGAATCTACTTGTAGCCTTGCAGATCCTGAGCCTTTACAAAATCTTATAGTCTGTAAAAACTCAGATTTAAGTCTTCTGGTGTGTACTAGGCATAAGAAAAACACCTTTGTGTTTGTTGGATGACACTGCATTACTGACATTATCCAATCAGGAGCCCTCAACAGCTCATCAGACCACACAGACTCAATTGTCTTTTCATCACTCTAACTCCCTCTTTGTTCTTCACTTCTTCAGGCCCATGGACCTGGCTGCCATAAAAAAGAACATTGAGACTGGCTTGATACGGACCACCGCTGAGTTCCAGAGGGACATCATGCTGATGTTTCAGAACGCAGTCATGTACAACAGCCTGGATCATGACGTGTACCACATGGCTCTGGAGATGCAGCGTGATGTCCTGGAGCAGATCCAGCAGTTTCTGGCCACCCAGCTCATCATGGAGACATCAGAGTCTGGTATCAGCGCCAAGAGCCTGAGGGGCCGTGAGAGCACACGCAAACAGGACTCTACTGACAAGGTGCTTCACTAGAATTTTGACAAAAGCAGAGAGTACAGAAGAAGAGACAAGGGTGAGACAACAGGCTGACTTAAAGGTAGAAGAAAGTGACGCTAAAGTAGATCTGCCTGACATTTTCCAAAGCAGGACATTAGTTTTTAGAATGATATCCTTTCAGGCAGCCATTGGTTTCGTGTTTCTATGCTGTCAAAATCAGCTGCAGAGACTTGAAGCTTTTAAATTAGAAGTTAACCATCACAGTGAAAATCAGAAGTAAACTTCTGTTGTTGTTTTTTTTTAAAGCAAGAATCCACCTATGTCAAAATTTTCTTATGTCCGTCGTATGGCTTTGCCTTTTTGGGCATTTGTAAATTAATGCAATATCTTTAAATGCATTACTATATTACAATTCTATAAAAAGACAAAACATCGTTCAATGAGGTGATGATACCTGTACGTGTCTCAAACAAGTTTCAAACCAATGGTTGGCTGGAGGGCAAGACATTTATTTTAAAACGTAACATTTATGCTTTGGAAAATGGTAGGCAATAATGTAATAATGCAATAATGTCAAGAGCATTACTGACAACTATTTACCAAAGCATACAGCTAAGTTTTTACATTGATATTCTACCTTCAAGAAAGCTATTGTTTTCCATTTATTTCACAACAGTATGAAAATGAAGTGACAGATAATTGACCTGATGAATTACAGTTAACATTTGGTCACCTTTTTTTTTGCATGATAGTGTGACTGAGTGAAGAACTGCTAATGTTGATGTTGGAGATTTACAGTAGAACGTGATTACAGAAACAAATAAGCATTTTTGAAACAACTACATTACAGCACCCAAAGAATGACACTTTATATTTATTTTTTAATCATTCTATATCACCCCGATGAAGGCCCTGTGCTTCAATATGTTGGTGAAACAATTTAGATTAGATTTTCCATATAGTCAGATGAGTCATTTTTCACATTAGTTCCTTTGTTGTTACCTAAGCTCCTAGTTGGCTGGTGAAGTAGTGACAGCACAAATGACCTGAGGCCTGTACTACGAAGCAGGATTTGAAGTTTGCAAGGTAACTTTGGGGTTAACTCAGGGTTTTCCATACCACGAATCTGGTTCTCTTTTTAGCGGGATAAATCACTGTGTTAACTTAAGCTGAACAGTTAACATGCTCCTCACCCTGACCTCTGACCAATCAGACCACTGAAGAAAAAGTATCCATTGACAAAAGTCCAGAGTCTCAAGTAAAAAAGAGGAGTCTATACTGTATATTGTTATAGATCAGTAGAATTACTTCATTGCTCCAGGGTTCTGTTTCCACTGGTTTTGAAACAGAGCTTCTAACAAATGGAGATATCGTTTACAACACTTAACACATGATTTTAGCTGTATTTTAACTTATGCAAAGTTCACTTAAGTCTACAGTGATCACTGACAGTGCTGCTACTTTTACCCTATGATTCTTTCACTGCAGCTCAAAATAACATGAGACACCTGTGTGATGAGAACTAGGATAAAAGATATTTTATTAGTAAAATAATCCACACACAGTTAATTGGCTAAATGCAACATTCCAGCCAGATAGACCTCATCAGTCATTAATTAGACTACTTTTCCCACCCTTTACTTTGGTAGTAGAAACAGTCTGGCATTACTCTAAAGTGTTTGATGTGACGTCATCCAACTAAACAGCAAAAAATATACACTATACTAATGTCACATAGGCCTATAGCTCAGTGATACCTGCACGTAAGTCTTGGCCGATGGTGAATTTTTCGATAGTATTTTAATTTTTTCTACATTTTAAGTTGTAAGATTACAGAGTATCGTTTACATCCCAAGCCAGTGACATTTTATTGTCTCGCAGTCCCAAACAGGTACCGTTTCATCTCATATGAAATTAGGTAGCCTACTTTATTTATGGTTCTGATGATGTCACTCATAATTAACATCCCCCCCTTTCACATGAACGCACTCAAGGCTGGATAGGAAAACCCAGAGTTGACTGAACTAGTCGATAACCAGCTTTGTAGTACCTGTTATCCAGACAGCCAATGTTAGGGTTAGTCAAGCCGGATAACAAAAACATATCCTGGGTAAGTTGAACAAGCTTCATAGTACAGGCCTCTGATCTGTAGTTTCAAGTGTTGAATGTTGATGAATAGCATTCTGATGTTAACTTAAACCAGTAACTGAATGGTAGGAGATGATGTAAAAGTCACACTATGCTTTGAAAAATGGTTGACAAATCTGTAGTATGTGTTGTATGTAGTTAATGACCTAATCATGCTGGCATGTTCCCCATAATATATCTGATATGGGTAAGTAGTGCTACTGCAGTAGTGGAAGGAAGCGAATAATAGATGAACAAAATAGCCACATGGCAGCATACCCATTTATGTGAGAATATGTTCCAACAATAGCTTGTTTCAACCTTTCCCTCTGCTGATTATGCTGTGTCCTATCTTTCTTGGCATTATTTTGCTTCCTCTTGAGACTTTCAGTGTACTTTTGTGTCGCAGCTCTGATATGCATCATTTTCCTCTTACAGGACACTGTCTCCATGTCCTCTCCTGCCTTCCTTCTTTCTCTTTTTGTAAGTACCGTCCTTCAGCCTTTAAAACTTTCCCTTTCTGTTTTGTCTTTTTTTTTCCCTGAAGCAATAAAAACAACAGTTGTTAACATTAAAGAAAAAAAACTTTTGTAAAGAGCTTAACTCAAAGTAATATGATAACTGGCTAAGTCATACGTGACATTAAAGGAACTGTAGTTTTGATTTTTGGGTGAACTGTCCCTTTAACATCTTGAAGCACAACTTAAGTGAAACACTAGTGTCACTAAAAGTGAAGACTAAAAATATGGTCTAATAGGTTCTTCCTTCCTCTCTTTGATGACAGGATGGAGGCACCAGAGGGCGCCGTTGTGCCATAGAAGCTGACCTCAAGATGAAGAAATGAACATAGACAATGAAAGTGTTACCCAACAGTGTCCCCGAGTTGAAGTGAAAGGTGTGATACCACAAGACTGAAATTATTCTCTGTCAGTTGCACAGATTTTCACTCTGCATAAAATGCAGTGTTACCTTTATTTGCACTCTAGATTAAATGGGTAGACTGTAACATGGAGAGGCTCATTTCCTATGAGACAGCCATACAGACATGGATTACATACTGTATAATCCCAGATTACAAAGGGGCATTCAGAAAGACTAGGTCAAACCTCTCATAGACGTAGCTGCAGAGCACTTAGACTTAGCCTGCTCTGAATTACATCAGGCTGTGTTAACGAAGATATAAGTTACTCCTTGCCTACAAATTGGCTGAATTTAAGCCGTCATGGGGCCCGGTTGAATTTCAGATTAGTGTGGTTGATTTTGAGAAATGTTGGTGACAATATGTGAAATCAGAGGCCAAAGAGTTTGATTAACCTGGAATTTCTGAATGATCAGGGGGGCACACACTAATTTCAAACAAACATTTTCATTGCTGGTATGACATTATCTGAGTTATCGTTTTTTTAGTTTTCTAATTTTAAAAGTATTCAGATCATTTTTAAATATGGCTGTTTGTGATGAATTGATTTTATCTAGGCTACACTTCCTGTGAAACTGTTCTGACATGCATACTCTAAGTCATTTTCGGTATTTTTGAGAAAACATCAACGTTATGAAACTGTTTTGTGGACTTTAAAATGTTTAAACAATAAAACTTCATAAAGAGCCCTCACTCAACCATGTTCAGCTTCAATTTGCATTGAAAGTTTCCCACTACAAGCAAGAACCATGACACTTTGCCCAGACCTCGCTATTGAAAGCTGTCTTAAAAATGTTCAGGCAGGGGTTGTGTGCAAAAATCAGTGAGAAAAGGCTTGATCTTCCTATGGGAAATTTTAATAGTTGGCATTTCAGATCCTTGTTTTCATTCTTTGCCTAATTTGTGACATTCATGTTTAATGTACTGTGTTTCAGACAGGAAAAGCATGCAGATTTTCTCAGGAATGATCTGAAGCAGCAGTGGCCACATGGCACAGAGCTGTAAAGAGTAACGTAAACATTACACGATAAACAGTGTTGTGTTTCTTAGAACTTCTCTGATCTGTAGATGCACAGTGACATCTTCTACTAAGCTCCTTCTCTGTAGGTGGGACCAATGACGAGGAAGAGTTTTGCATTTAGCTTTTGTTTAGTCATGTTCAGTGTTATGTCAGTTGGCCTGATCAATGAAACGTATTCATATCTTTTATTGAACCAGAGCCAACTCATTTGCAGGATCATTTTTGCTGCTGTCAACTACCACTTTGTAGTTGCTGTTAATACCAGAGGTCCCTGAATGGCATTAACAGTTGAAGACATGCATTAATCTGTACATCACTCCAAAATCAAAACCATGTTTGTCTTTTGACCTGTAGAGCTATTTATTAATCGACCTTAAAGACTGCTGCCTTCTCTCAAATATAATGGAACTAGATGGCACCCAGCTTGTGGTGCTCAAACAGCAATGTCTCTTTCCAGAAATCATGACGTGGTTACTCAAGATAATCCACAGACCTTGTTGTGATCATTTTCATGGAGGAACTATTTTTTTTCTACTGAACTACACCCACCACCATGAGAGGCTCTTGCTCATGACAGTGTACAATGTAAATATGAGTGGCTTCCTCAGCTGAGCTGTAATGTTAGCTAGCTCAGTGGTGCAAGGTGAGTTAGCAGGAGTTACATGCTTCCTTCTGTGCAGTGATACGGTTTGTGGATGTACTTTGGTAGAAAGATAATAGTTCCTATGCAAAACTGCTGACAATAACATTTCTGGATTATCTTGAGTGACCAGGTCATGATTTCTGGACGCTTTGAACACAAAGCGACGGCATCTTGTACCATTATATTTTAGAGAGAGCAGACATCTCTGCAGCTGATATCTCCAACACTCAGCAATTCAAAACAAAGCAATCTAGACCTGTTTTGAATTTAAGTAGTATTCATTGTAGTATGTATGTAGTATTCATTGTTATATCAGAGAACTGTATTCTGGTCAAAGTGGAAAAGCCCCTGAAGCAGAATTTTGCTCCTGAAACCTAGCACCTCTTAGTCTAGTCATCTAGTGGGCCTGATTGGACTCTCTGGTGGGCTGGTTCTGGCCAACGGGCCATATGTTTGACACCCCTAATCTAGACTGATAAACAGCACTACAGATGAGAGGAATAATATGTAGTTTCAATTTTGAGGTGAACTGTCCCTTAAGTGCTGTCAAACAGAAAAAGTAAGACACCACTTCAAGTTGTATATGCTGTGTGTCAGGACAGTCAAACCTCTCGCTCAAGCAATTAGACTGATGAGATGAAGGTGACAGTGTGAACGCACATAAAAGTGAACATCTCCGGGGACGTTTTACTCTGTGAGTGATGTTGTTCTAAAGGACATAGTGAGAGGTTCAGACACATTGAGGATGATTAGTTCAGCTTGTGTGAGATTTTACATGATTTAATTACTATTAAGACAATTAACTCTTTTTTGAGATCATCAGCCTGCCTAATTTAAGTACCATAGTCAAAACTACCTTATACTTTAAGTAGGATAATGTGTACCGGTGGTATTGTACAATAATCACTTACTTCTTAAGTCACCATCAAACTAAAAATGAACAAATGAGACAAAACAAAACCATGTTCTGGTTACACCTTTAATGTTCAGGTACTTTTGGCTGAAAACTGAATTCTGCAGTGCACTACCACACCGACTGATACCAAAACCTGATTTTTGCGTATCACAGTTAAGGTTTTACATGTTTGTGAGTTACAGTGTGGACCTGAATAATCTAATCCATTAACATTTAGTGTGTCAGCAGTCATGACGATGAGTTCACCGAAGAAAAAAAAAAAATGAATACATAACTAATAAAAACAGTCTCTCACTAAGGTTGCATGCAACGGTAACAATAGGGAACACAGGATTAAATATCAACTTAAAAGTGCTTTAGATGAACCTGAAAATTTCGCAAGTATGAGAACAGCTAAGGCAGTTTGGCAGTCATAGTGCACAGCAACACGCATCGACGTCTGTATAGGGTTTGAATGAAGAATTAAAGTTGACAATTTCACGAAGTTAGCGTCCTACTCATGACAAGATTTGACAAGTGAAAGTCACAATTCTGGTTCCTAGCTGTGGGGAACGATATTAAAGGTTCAGGAGGTAACTTTAAAAAATAAAAGATCTTTGTCATATTTCCAAAAACTGTTCCTATATGGTGACAGTGGTACATGAGATGGATAATCTGTTAAGAAATCCATCTTCTTCTGGCTCCTCCTAGTGCTCCTAATGCCATATGATAGACCAGTGGTTCCCAACTGGTGGGTTACGGTCCACAAGTGGGTCGCAAGTCCATTCTGAATGGACTGCAACTGAGTCCTTGACATGTAAGGAGGAGCTAGAGTTACATATTTTTTTTTTACAGATTGTCTATCTCACATACCACTGTCAGGATATAGTGAGTTTAAGCAAATACGGCCATTTCTTTTTAATAAAATGTATCTACTGTTGGTTAAAATGTAATTTCTAACCGATTTATACTGATAATTCTGATTAAATTGAGATTTTCGAAACAAAATGCGTCTTCTCTATAAAACATTGGTATAAACTAAAGGTGCAGAACGTATAAAACATTTATAAAATATGGGCCGAATAGCGATTTTCTGACAACAAAATCATTTAAGCTTGTGCACTGTTTAGGAAAAGAAGGTACTGCATGCCATCTAAGCCCCGACAACCCTACAGGTAATGTTCATCTAGCAGGTACACCAGAAAACACTGTGTAGGACTGTGAACAGGCTTTTTGGTTGAACTGGACTCCCTGCCTGTGACAAATCAAAATGACTTAATCGAAACGTGGCCTTTTTTTGCAACACACAACAGTCATTTCTCACACTTAAACCTAAACCATATGCCCGCTGCTAAAACACACAACAACTTCCTGAATGGCAGAAGCTTAATGACCAATGTAATAAACACCTATGCAAGCGGTAGTGCGGGGAGACAGCTCATTTTTTGGCAAGTATAACCTTTAATAACACAACTAGAAAAATGTGGTCGTGGTTTTACTTTACTGTGCCTCCTAATGGTGTATTGCCAGAGGTCATACCGCCTGATTAACCACAGTATACATGTTGCAGTCCTTTCTAATGTCTGATTCGTCTTGTAGTAATAAATAAAAAGTCCTCTGTCATTTCACAGTACAGAAGCTCTCAGATTTGTCCAACGACTACAGTATTACTTAGGTCACTGTACTTTTAACTTCCTACAGAAAAAAAGATGAGCCAAGGTGCTCAGGTAACATTCACTCTATTAACTATTAAATAAATACACCTAAAATTTCAGCGAGGACACAAAAACATTCAAGAAAATAAATACATGTTAACTACAAAACCTAAAACAAAACGTGTATGTGTGAACATACTACTGCCTTCATAACCCCCGAAGGGAGACCCCGTTCTGTCATGCCATTTCTATAAGAAAGTTTAAAGGCTCTGAGACATCGTACGCACTGCCGCAGTGAGTTCGCACGTGATGCTGCTGCCACCACAGTCAGGGTTGGCAGCTGACATGCAACTCTTCTACCATCAAAGAGGAGAGAAGGCACATTGTTTCCAGAGGCATAATCTGCCACTGACTGCGCTGTACCTAAAAGAGATTTCTTTACAAAGTGGCCAGATTGGATAAATTCCCCCCTTACTAAAATGCATTGTTGTAAAGTCTGTAAAGAAACGTGTTCTCCTCTCAAACAGTCCTCATTTGCCTCTCTGACGCCCAACCAATCGATGCAGTTTCTCACAGTTGTCAAGCCTCATTGACTCTGCCTTCTGCTTTAAACGTTCATCTCGGTACAGTTGTCCGAGGTTTGCCAAGTCTGATTCTGAAAAAGGAGAACAAAAGAATAATAAAATAAAGATGCATCACAATATAACAGCTTTTTACACTGTAAGGAATAGTTCAACATTTTCGGATATGCCCTCAGTAGCTTTCTGGCAGAGTTAGATGAAAAAGTTGATACCACTCTCACGTCTGTTTGGTTTTCATGAACCTGCAGTCGGTTAGCATAAGCCACATTTCAACAAAACACTTTTGGTATAGTACTCTTAAAACCAGTACATAACCCGTACGGATGTGTACCTAAACTCTCGATCTGTTTAATGTTTCCACTGCAAACAGTAGTCTTAAATGTAGGCGGAGTTGTTGTATGCACTGCTCCATCCAGCTTTCACTGAATTTCCCTTTTCACCTGCAATACAGAGGAATGTCTGTACCTCGTTGACTGTCCACAGAACGGGGGTTGCACACTGACATTTTCAGGACAAAAAAGAACAGGCTGGAGTGTTTAGAGTCTCTGTTGCAATCAATGTGATATTTATTATATATTATTTATTTACTTTCTACTGTGGGTAAGCTGTTTTTTCTCTCATCTTCTTTTAGTGACACTTTTTTGTTTGAAATGCATGACTGCTTGCTTGGTGTGCAGATGCGCTCAGATCGTCAGTCGTAACAGTTTGTGCCGAAACTAGCTACGGTATATAATATCTTCTCATCACATGATTATATGAAGATTTGACATTGGACAACATCAACATAGATATTATCCAGCAATCATTAATATCGTCTGTATTTGACAAAAATGCCTTAGAAAATAAGAAAGTATTCATTGAATAGGGTAGTTTTTTTATAGTTTATTTATTAGGGCTGC